TGCTGTAGATTGTAGCTCAGAGATTGAATTATTTACAGACCCGATCGGTTTGCTTCTGCCACCCGGAGAGTGTTTGATTCTATTTGTTAAAGTGAAGTCAGTAACATTGGTATTGAAATATTAAATTTATAACTATAATAATTTTATGCTTGATAGAGAGAGATGTTAAATGAAATTATTGTTAAAAATTGGTGATGTTTGAAAAATTTTCATGATTTCATTAGGATTTACTATTAAATTCTAATTACTTAATTAAATAATAATAGATAGAAATTGTTAAGGAATATGGATATAATGGAGTATAGATGTAAATGATATTGATAATTGTTTATTATTTTTATTTCTTAAAATATACATATAATATAATTATAAAATATTTTTAAAAGGAAATCATGTGAAAAAATATTGGAAATTTATATATAATTATTTTAAATTAAGGTAAGTTTAATATTTTTAATAATATATATATTGTTTAATTTAAATTACTCAACTTCAAATTTCAAGAATTTAATTTCTTCTCCATTATAATTAAAGCTTCTTTCCCTTTAATCAGAGATTAGCCATCAGATCGTAAAGTTCTTGGACCACAATATCCCTTCAGAAGACGTCGTTAACCTCCTGTTTCGGTTTATCGTCGCGGAAGGCATAGAAGGAATCAGCTTTGATCCTGGGCAGGTTCCACGCGATTCCTGTCGGAGCCTTGGGCGATGAAGCACACCGTGGCTGCACCGTCAGAAAATTTCATGGGACTAGCACGATAGCAGAGATTGCGTAATAGAGATCACTTGGCAGAGGATCTGATCAAAGTTGAATCTCATTGGCTTTCGTTTCCGTGGTACCGACGAGGGAACTGCCTTGTCTCTGCTATGGAAATCCTAGATGGAAGAGATAAGAGACACAGAATAAAGATACAAGTTTTTGAGGAATAATGATATTGACCGCGAGTAGATTGTATTAAGATTTCTGAACTCTCTTAAGCGTGATAATTGGATAATTTTGATAATAATGGTAAATATCTTTTTATTTTATTTCTATTTTATATTATTTTTACTTTATTATATATTTTTAAATTTGTATAAATACTAAGACATTTTACAATTATGAGAAAGTTTTATTAATTTAATTATTTACTTAAATTAAAAATACCAGATTATTATAAATTAAAAGGCGTGGACAAACTCTAATGATAAAGTTTAATGATAACTTGTAGCTTTTTACAATATGTCCTAATATTTTAATATCAGTGAGAAGATAATTTGTTTCATTTAAATTTCATTTAAATTGTAGAATTTAAAATATCTTATTTTCATTCTAATTGATTTGAGAATTATAATAAAATTTATTAAAGCAATATTCAGAGTGGGAATTATTTTTATTAATGGCAAGTAAGGATGAATGGTTTAAAGGCAAATAGTAATAAATTAATTACTATATACATAATAATATTGATAGCCAAGTATATTTAGCGATTCATCATAATTTATGCCATTATATAATCTGGTTTACTTATGAATATTTATTAGTAAAATTATATTTATCCTTTCTATAAATCTTTAGCATTTATACATAGAAAAGTGTAAAATAGAATAGAGTACATAATGAAATATAAATATAAGATTAATTTTACGATTTATCTTTGAATATCTAGATTATATGGATCGAATCTAACGTGTGAAAGCTGAAGAAATAAATTCTCAAAATTGTTAACGAAAGGAGTTACGTGGGAAAGAAGCAGAAGTGTTCAGATTTCCAGAAGAGGACTAGATTTTATAAAAGACGTTACATAGATCAAGGATATTTTTCATCAACCACCAGTTGCCCGTTTGTGTTCTCTCGTTCCTCGATTATACATTTTGCTACATGACTTAAAACCTGGTCAGAGGTTGTTCCAGTTACGCTTTAATAATGGTAATATTTCCTGAGCATCGTGTGCCGTGTCATGTATTATGAGAAGCCAAGATTTCGCGTCAAAACATATATCTTAAAAATTAATTAAAATGGCGGATACGATCACGGATTGAATCATTTAAGAATATTATTGGAGAAGAGGAAAATGAACAATAAAAAAGGAAAATTTCGAGATCTATTTGGGAAGAAACGTGAAATTTCATGCGCAATTTCATACGCGAAAGAAAACAGAGTAAACAGAAAATCGTATTACCAAGTAAAATGATTTTGAAACGGAATAACGTTCTCCATTGAGATGCGGAAATACCGTACAAATAACCGAGATGTTTGCATAGGATGGGGACACCGGGCGAAACTCATCTTTTCAGATGTTTCCCAGTACACCGATAGTCGTGGTCGAGAGGAATGAATTAAAAAAGAAACCATAGAGACAGGCTGAGAGAGTGAAAGAGACGAGGAAAGGAAAGAAAAAGAACCTGTGGGAAGAAGACAACAAACGTCTATTCATATCTTCGAGCAATGAATTGAGTTTGAGTTGCGCAACATAAAGATTGCAATAAAATAACGAAGATTTTAATTGTTTCCTTAATTTAAAGTGTCACTGGCAATATAATTACCGTGCTAAATTTAATTTCATAATATAAATATTATCTATATATATATATATTATAAGCAATTTTTCTTTTACATTAAAAAACTTAAATTAAGATATATAATTATAGAAAACTCAATAATCAAAGAACTCTATATTTTACCACCATGGATTAATTATCACAATTACTCAATCGTATTTTTCAAAGAGGCTAACGAAAAAAACTAAAAGTCATTATTTAAATAATATATCGAAGAAAATTTTAATTAATTGTGAAGAGAATTTTCGTAATAATTCATAAATAAAAAGTACACGAATAAAAAAGCATTAACAAGTGGTAATCCAATAACGCAGCAAATTTTAAAACTTCTTCAACCTGACTTCTTACGTCACAGAGAACGCATCTAGAAGTATATTTGCAAAGGGACAGAGGAAGATGCATCCTACGCGGAGGTGGCTGAAGATAAGGAGAGAAGGGACACAGGCTGGGGTTC